CTGATGTGATGCAGTGAAAGCAGTGCTCGGAGGAAAATTTATAGCTACAGCAATCTATATTAAAAAATAAGAAAGATCTCAATCAATAACCTAACTTTATACCTTAAAGAATTAGAAAAAGAATTAAACCCATAGCTAGCATAAGGAAGGAAATAATAAAAATTACAGTGGAGATAAATGAAATAGAGGACAGAAAAACCATAAAATTAATGAAACTAAAAGTTGATTCTTTGAAACAATAAAACTGACAAACTGTTAGTGAGACAAAGAAAAAAGAGAGAAAGCAAAATAATGAAAATCAGAAACGAGAGTGGGGACATTACTGTCAATCTTACAGAAATTAAAGAATTATGAGAGCATATACTGAACAAATTGTATGCCAACAAATTTAAAAATACAGATGAAATGGAAAAATTTCTAGACGTAGGCACCCTTGTTTATTGCTGCATTATTTGCAATAGCCAAGATATGGAAGCGACCTAAGTGTCCATCAATTAATGAATGAGAAAGAAGCTGTGATACATATACACAAAGGAATATTATTCAGCCATAAAAAGAAAAGAAATCCTGCCATTTGCAACAACATGGATGGAGCTAGAGGGTATTACGCTCAGTGAAACAAGCCAAGTGGAGAAGACAACAAATGATTTCACTTATTTGTGGAGTATAAAAACAAAGCAAAACAGAAAGAACAAAACAACAGTAGACTCAGACACTGAGAAGGGACTAGAGGTTACCAAGGGGGAAGGGGAGCGGGGAGGAGAGAGGGAGGGTGGTAGAGAGGGGGAAGGGGATAAAGGAGCACAATAATTTGCAATGACAATATAGGTTGGTCACAGGGATATAGTACAGCACAAAGGTTACAGTTAATGATTCTGAAATGTCTTACTTCGTTGATAGACAATGACCACACTAGAGGGGGTGAGGATTTAATAATATGGCGTAACTGATGGACCACTGTGTTGTACATTTGAAAAGAACCTAAGATGGTATATCAATGATACTTTAATTTTTTAAAAAATGGATGGAAATGGAAAAATTCTTATAAACACAAAATTACCAAAATTGACTCAAGACAAAATATAAAATCTCAACAGATGTAGAATAGCTAAAGTGATTGAAACAGTAATCAAAATCCTCCTAAAAAGGAACACTCTAGGATCAGACAGTTTCACTGAATTCTACTTAACATTTAAAGAATTAACACTAATCCCCCCAAAAAGCATTAATCCCTTTCAAATTCTTCTAAAAAAACAGAAGAAAAATACTTTTTAACTCATTCTGAGGTTAGAATTGCCTTGATACCAAAGCCAGACAAAGACATAAAAAAATAGAAAATTACAGACCAATATCCCTTATAAATATGGATGCAAAAATCCTCAATAAAATACTAGCACACTGAATCCAACAGTATATTCAAAGGATGATATACCATGACAAAGTGGAACTTACCCAAGGAATGGAAGATATTAAGAAAACTGATGTAATATGAAGGCAAAAACAAAACAAAAACAAAAGAACCCCACATAATTATCTCAATGCAGAAAAAGCATTTGGCAAAATTCAACACCCACTCACTATAAAAACATTCAGAAAACCAAGACTAGAAGAGAACTTCATCAACTTCTCAAGGGCATTTATGAGAAACCACAGCTAGCATCATACTAGATAGTGAAAGGCTGAAAGCTTTCCCTCTGATATCAGGTGTAAGGTAAGTTTGCCCACTTTCACCACTACTATTCAACAATAGCAACTGAAGAGGAAGTTCTAGCCAGAGCAATTAGGCAAGAGAAGAAATACAAGGCATCCAAATAGGAAAGGATGATGTAAAACTATCTATTGTCAATTTTATCAGGTTTGCCTTATTATTTCAAAGAGGAATTAAGAGTAAGTGGGATATTTCTTGTGCTCATGTTCCCATCAAAAATGGAAAAATTTAAAGTCCACTTGTTTACTTCCAGCCTGCTTTACTAATTTTTATTTCCTATTTCACACCCATAGCTATTCGAGTTTACAAAACTCTTGTCATTTTGGTATTATAAAAATAGAAATCAAGAGTTGCGGACAAGACTAGAACTAAGTTAACCATTTATACCCTGAATTCCAAAGTCACCAAATTCATGGCTGCATGAATAATCAAAATTAGACACTTACAAATAAATAAATATCCAAATAGTTTCATCAGTCAAGGTGAAATAAATGTGAACTGACAGCAAAGCAAAATCTAATGTCTGGTCACTTACATCTATTTTCTCTCCCACAACACTAGTACAAAATGGAGCAAAAAAGTAACCAGCTCAAGCTTACTAAGAGGAAAGCCTGGGATGTGAGGATAATACATTGGACAATATTCTTATCTTTGAAGAATTCCTTTTCAGAAGGATACTATGCATATTTCTATGCTAGACATATATGAAAATAGGAAATGGGTGGCAATCTGGCAATTTTTACCACAGAGCCTAGGTTTTATTCAGTAGCTTAGCCTTGGGGACCCTAGGTCTTCCTTGCAGGGAGTGGGACAGATAAGAAATGAATATAATTTCTTAGAACTGAAGTCTAAATGCTTTATCTTATTCCGGCATCCACAGGTGTTTAGCCCCATTTGAGAGTGTTGGAGAGGACAAGGACACAAAAGGCAGCAGTATGGGGGCTATGTTTGTCTGGCTTTATCTACCTTTCTGCCTAAAATGTTTCTAGCCTCAAAGCTCTTTAAAGCCTACCACTCATTTTCTCAGAGACACAATGTAATGTGGTTTCTAATAGAGGATAAAAAAGGGGACTTCTTACCTGGGATGGATAAAGATGTTGGTAACACCTGACAGGGGGACGGAGAAGTGAGACCACTGTTGTTCTAACTGTCATTGCCTTTTCCCTTTCCTATGCCAAGGTAGGAGGCCTTCGAAATTATATAACTTGCCATGCTTCCTCCCCTCTGTGCCTGTTCCAAATGCACTAGAGATTGAATTCTGTGAGGGTAAAGGCTTTGATTTATCCACCCTGCAACATGCAACATAGCAGCTGGCCCATAATCAAGGCATTTTTTATTAAACAAATGTTACCGCCCTAAAGTAAACAATAGAATGCAGAGAGCAACCCACCTAGCCTGGTCACAGAGAGAATGTTGGACACAGGTTTTGGTAACTATGAGCAGGCTGCAAACGGTACTTTGGTGGCTACATATTTACATTGCTTCACTCTTAGCCCATCTATGATATCTCTTAAAGGCTATAAATTTGATACTGGAAATTAAACAGAAAGTAGATGTAAAGTAAGAGAATTGTGAGAACAGAGTCCAGTCTAAAGAGTATCCCCGCTGACTGAGCTTAGTAATATGTAAGACTGTCACACCAGGTGGTCTGCTAAACTAAAACAGCAATGACTGAACTCCGTTATTAGATCAACAAGAGAAATTATGGAATTTACTGCTAGAAAGAAATTTATATATTTTTTAGTTTTTAAGAATTCAATGTTACCTTTTTATAATATTACCATTAAAACTGAAAGCTCTATTAAGATGTAAGGCCAGGACATGACCAAATATTCAAGATCGAATAAGAGAAAAATCAAATTACAAAATACATGTTGTTTGATTTTTGGTTTTTGCTTTACAAATGGTAATATGTGCATAGAAAATATGTGGAGGCTTATAATCTAAACTGTTAGTAGAAAAATAATATAACATTTAACTGAAAAAATTGTCTCTTAAAAGTATCTTTATCAAAAAGGAGATCAACAGATGTAATATTCAGTAACCTAAAGTAGTGGTTTGAAAACATTCTTTGGAACACTAAGGCTCATCAGAGATTCTCTGAGCATCAGCACAGGACATGAGGGCAGATGATCTCCAAACATGCCTTTATGTAAACTCCTAAGGTTGAGCATTTTACTTTCAATATTCTAATACTGGAGTTCTGCCAATAATAAGTTTTAAAACTTCTTATCTAAAGTAGGTATAAGTAATTTATCTCTGAATGTTCCTTAAAGCATTTCCTGGGGTCTGAGTAGGCTCCCCAGGAAGAGAAATGTGTTCTCTCTCATGTTTTCTGAGGGCAAGATTTTGGCACCCAGCTTCTTCGCACAAGATCTGCTGCATTTATAAGCTGCCTAGGTAGAAAGGTGGATGCTCCGTGCTCATTGTCTACCATCCGTTCATCTCCTCTGAATCACGGTCAGTCATCCAGGAGCAGAAGATTCAGGATCACCAGAGACTTTTCAGGTGAATGAGAATTCAAGCCTGAGCCCATTAGAAAGAGGTCAATTCCTTTCTAAAGCAACTTCCTTGAAACAGGATGCTTTTTCTTTGCAAAATTCTTCTTTTTTGTTACTGCTCTTTCTTTAAACAGAATATAGTGACTGCCTATAAATCCTTTGTTTTGTTTTTAGAAGTTTTTCTGTCATAGAAACTTAAAGTAGTTTTGGATGTTACCTGCATTTCTCTAGCCTGTTTTTAAGAGAAAATTTGGTTTTAGAAATATAAATGAAAGACTTCAATATTTGAGCTAAAATGTTTACATCCCCTAGGGTGAAAAAAACGCTTTTTAGAAATGTCAGTTTTTTCATTTGCTTCTTCATTATCTGTAATAACCAGGGAAAACCTTTGAAATGAAATCCCTTTCTTTGTTTTTCTTATTCTTTCTGAATTTCATAGTCATATCCCTCATCTGTATTCTTAATGGGTCAAACCTAACATGGCATTTTCTGTTTACTAAACTTATCTGTGCTTTCTGACTGAGGGCAGCAGAATCGCTCTGTGAATTTCTATTTCAGAACCAGCACAGGGAGCTCACTCACATAGGAATCTGAATTCAGATATAAGGGGATGCAACCCAACTTTCTTCAGTAAAGAATGGCCCTTTTGCATTGTAGATAAAATTATCACACAATAAGCAACAGGTTATTAAAAACAGTGGTGAGATAGAGCCTTTGATAAGATATATATAGAGACAGTCCAGTCTCAATGGCAAGGCTACTGGCCAAACAGGTGCATATGCTGCCTGTACCTGTTTTTCAAGGCTTGGCTTGCTCAGCTGTACAGTTTGAGGTCCAGAGAGTCTGGTCCCCGGAGTAGCTATCACAATGCTGGTGAGCTGGGCCATGGGGAACGTTTTGGCTATGGTTGCAGTCTGCCCATTGACGACACGGACGGGGTGGATGGAATTCTGGGAGGTAGGGAGTGTTGTGGGGGTGAACTTGGTCAGCATGACAGGTCTCTGGATTAGCTGAGGAGCTGCAAGCATGGGAGGAGGTGCTGGGGCAATAGGAATGTTATTCTGGGCCACAGGCTTGGGTCGAACCTATGGGGAAAGAGAGAACAATCACCATATTACTTAAAGAAACTTCTCAAGTGCTGTAAGTCTAAGACATTGCCAGATCTTCCACACTATATATGTGAAATGGCATTTAGTAAAAATATTAATATTCATTTTAGTATTATTAATTCTATAGCTCACAGGATATATAATCTTATAAAAAAAGCCTCCAGCTCTTAAGAGAGTCCAAATGCTACCCTACAGAGCAGTTCTGATTCCAAACCTTAGCTCCCTCTCCTACACCATGCTGCCTCTTCAAGCTGCCATCAAATGTCTAATCCAGAGACTGGTCCCACAAGAATTTATGCCCAGTTATGGTAATAATGCTGCCAATGGTCTTAGTTCACAGTCTAAATGTCTTCATATCCACAGCTTCAATTTACTCCCATTTCTGGCCCTCTAACTCCCTGTTCTTGGTCACTCCTTCTGTAAGTCTCCTTTGTGGCTTCCTCTGCCTAATCCTAAATATAAGTATTTTCTCAGGACTTTGTTCTGGAACCCCTTTCTTTCTTCCCAATGTCCTCACTCCTCGGAGCTCTCACTCATCCTTGGCTTCAATTACCATCTATGTACTCAAGACTTCTGCACTTGTATCTCAGGATCAGATATCTCCTTAACTTCAGAATCATATATTCAACTGCCTATTGGACATCTCTACTTGGAAATCTCACAAAAAGTTCAAAATCAACATGTCAAAAATTAATCAGTTTCTTCCTCCAACCCACTCTTCCTCCTATATAATCATCCCTAGTAAATGTTCTTTTCTTGCTAAATAATCTTCAGAATTATTCTTGATGCTTCCTACTCCATCTTTACTTCCTAAATCCTTCTCAAAAACATCTACTTTTTATCTTCACTGCTACTACTTTAACCTTGTTTGGCTTACTGAAACAGTGGCAGAAAACATGGGATCATCCTTGCCTGGGTTAAAATCTTCGTTCTAGCATTTACTAGCTATAAACTTCAGGCAACATACCTGATCTCTCTAAGCCAGTATATTTCAAACTTTCTAACCTGGGACCCTGCAGGCAAAATCCTTCCCTGCTATGTATGAGAGTTTCACCTTTAGTTAACTCTCTAGCTCTGTTCCCCTGGAAACCTGATAGGGTAAGAATGTCAACTATGTTACCAGGCAACACTGCTTATGGTAAAAATGACCCTTCATTGCTAAACTGAATCTGAATGGGGAGGATTATAAATACTTTGATGGGCCATCTTGCTTTTGGCTTCCCAAAGCGGGTTGACTTGAAACTGGGCATGCCCATTGTGGGGAACTTGAAAGTCATGCCTATGGAATTGTTACAAGATATATTTGGTCCCTGTGAGGCAGAGGCTTCTATACCAGGATGGCTCTCCTACTGCCCTGATAAAAGAGCTCCTTTCCTCACACCTGAATCATCCCTGGACAGCTGTAGTGACTACTATCAGAGCTACTATAGGGACTCCCACTGAAGAAAACTGCCTGATGCTGTCTGTTGGCAGGCTTTAGTTTCTGTCCTTTGTTGTTCCAAGTAGACTGGTATCAAGTGTGGCCCCTGAAAGTCTTGTGAGTCTGAATGTTAGCTGAACTTAAGAGAACCCTGTAGGGGCTGCTGCAGACCCACAGTAGAAAATACATTTCACAATGTAACTAATACACACATACAGATATATATCTATAGCTCTATAAAACAAAAACTTCATGAAACAATACTTGTGTGCTATGTAATCTAGTATTTCTGACTGTTTTGTTCATTTTATTTAGAAACTCTGGTTACAACCCATTAAATTGATTTAATAGCCTACCAATGGGTCATAACACACCATCTGAAAAACATGGAACAAACCTTAGATTCCTTATTTTTAAAAACTTTTAAAACCTACTTTCAAAGGGTTGTTGTGAGGATTAAAATAGATAACCCAAGTAAAGCACCTAGCATAGTAAGTGACACAGAGCAAGATTCTCTAAGCATTAGCTATTATTATTGTTTGCAATGTCTTAACTCTTCTTCATGCCCAGTCTCAACAATCTCCAATCTGTTCTCTACACAGTAGGAAGAAGTACTTTTCTAAAACAACAATCTGATCATGTTACGTACTGTTTGAAATGCTTTATTAGATTCCCACTGTTCCTGGGAAGGCCCAAATTCCTATATAGCCTACAAGGTTCTACAGGCTCTGGCCCACTGGGCTTCTCCAGTCTCACCCTTTACTCTAGCCAGAGTCAGCCACATGGTCCACTGTGCTCAGCCACACCAAATCTCCTTTGGTTCCTTAAGCTTCTATGAATTTCTCTATTCTGGGCTTGTGCTTCCGTGCCCTCTGCCTCGGACATTTCTATTCTTCCCCCAAAACCTTGTCAGGCTAACTTTACCAGGATTTTAAGTCTTAGATTGAATATCAACTCTTCAAGGAAACTTTCTGTAATACTCTTAAGAAAGAGTTGGGTGTCCTTCCCATGTGTTCTCAGGCTTCCCTGTACTTCCCATGATGGACACTATAATTGCTTGTATATATGTTTTAAGTTCTCTGAGGGCAGAGAACTGTCTGTCTTGAAAATTGGCATATCCATAATACTAGGTTCCTTTTTTGATACACAAGGTATTTATTAAGGATTTATCTGATAAATAGCTGAAATTATCTTACCTTATGTTAATTAGCACTGGCTATTCCCTACCCTGGGATAATTCAGAAATCACTTATGGTCACTGACCACAAAATCCCTTTTTCTTCTTTCTGTCTGAAATTTGGGATCTCAGATAGGAACTCCCAGCAACTGGACCAGGCAAGTCAACTCCCTTCATGGCCCACACTAGGGCAATCCTGACCTGCCATGAGAATGGTGAACTCAGCTCAAGTGCTAGAAGAATACTCTGAGGAGCATACAGACAGACACAGATGCTTGGGCCTAGGTAAAAAGCTCCCTGTGTAGACTCCTAGTCTAAATCTTAATAAGCAAAGCTCTGTGTTTAAGTATGGTGCTCAATACTATCATTTTCCAGAGTAGAACTGAATGGCTTCCCTTTCGGTTTAGCTGCTCTTTGGCTTCCCTATTCTCTTTGGTAGATGGAGGGGGGGAAAGTGGTAATTGCATTTCTTCCTCACTGGCAGGCAGGTTTTGGCTAAATTCTTCCAGTATATTAACATTATAAGGTTTAAAATAGTGGTATCTTATTTTAAACTTAAGAAATTTTCCTTTTCTTCATATCTCCCTGCTACTGCCTTTGGTCATTGCTAAGAAACCCTGATGATAAAATAAGCTTCTTCATGGTATAGAAATCGGCAGCTAGAATCTTTATCTAGGATCTGAATACAGCTGAGTTGACAAGCAAATTATAGGCTGCTCAGAAAGGGCCCAGAGGATTTTTGTCTTAAAAATCTATCACTGGGCTTGTCATTGGTTTACTCACCTGTGGAAGAAAGTTTGGACGTGGAGTGAGTCTGGGAGGGGGGATAAACTGTGGTACTTTGATGGGCTGAGGAGGTGTTGCCTGAACCTGCTAAAATATGGGAAAGATAAATAAACCAAAGAAGACAATAATTGTTCAATAAATATCAAAGCTAGGCATTCACAAAGTATTTTCAGCATCACTATTCTGCTCATTGTACAATTAGCCATCTGAATTAATACTGCCTTAAGAAAACTTTTTTATTCTCCTACCTGCATGCTTTACTACATAAAGTGAGCCAATCACATTTGTTTCCTTACATATCTAATATAGAACAAAGCAGGCTTGCCAACCCTAGACAAATTCCTTTGACACTCAAGAACTTTGCACTTACATATTTTAAAAATCAAGACTAGGTCCAAAGTAAAATCAATCATGCTGCCTGACCAAATTTTTTTTCTTAATATATGAACTTAATCTAACAGTGAATGGCTTTATTCCTTTAGGGAATTTTGTAACTCTCAGCATCTGGCTGAGTTACCTGGTTGCTTCTCTAATTCTTGGGTAAGTGGTGAAGTCTGACTTTACTACTCTGGTTTAAATCATCATTAGCCATCATTCAAAAGCCACCAAAGAACTCGTAGCTGCCATTTTAGAACAGACTTTTAAACCACAATTTGGGTATATTTTCTCCAAGATTCACAGAATACCGGTTTCTAAATGGTTTTACTCTAGAAATCTCATGAACAATTTTTATTCAACTACTTCCTTCAAGCAATCTTTTTTCTGATAGACCTTGGACATGGACACTGTTAATTTGTGAATTTCTTAAATGTTTTTAAAGTGCTCCAACTAACTAACTCTGCTACTTCCTGGGTGCAGTCAATTTCAAGGGTCAGTGAACTATGAGAATTCAGCAAGGAGTTTTCTCCAAATTGGTAATATAGCACCAGAGAGTGTAAACACCCAAGTTTCACAGTAAGGACTGTAGATAACATGTAGGGAGAGAGACCTGAAACAGTGTGTATGCTTTTGTGAAGGACACTTTCCCCTCCTCAAGTCAAGTGCACTGAGTGTGTTTTGGTCCTTGGTGTCAAGTTACCTCTACAGTTATTTGAGAAGACAGTAGGAATGCCATTCAGCCCTGAAGGGGAATTTCGTATGGTAGAAGAGGGATGGAAACTGAAAAATCCAGCAAGAGCATACAATGGATATACTCTACAAATGCATAGCTTGAACCCTCTCATGTAGACACACATGAGTAGCAGCTGCTGGCTTACCAGAGTGACTGTGTTTTTTGCCACAATTTGGACAGCCTCTGCTCCTGGCCCAGTGACCTTACTAGACGTCTGGAGGTTGACTGGTGTGTTCTGCACATCAGTGCTGAGCACAGTCTTCTGACTGTTGATGGCGGTCACCATAGCAATGGTAGGCCGCTGGCCCACGACAGAGGCAGGCATAGTTGCAGTTGCTGCTTTCAAGACGAGAGGTAGTGTCTTTGTGGTAATCATAGAAGCTGTAGTTACAGTCTTCTAAGAGACATAGAAAACATACATTAGGACACTACAGTGTGATCCCGTCGATATGCTGCTAACCCCACCCCAGAAGAAAGCAAAGCAGTAATTCTCATAATCAACCAAATTTCTCAGTACATTTCTTTTGTGTACATGAAGCACACTTCTTACTACAGGGAAAGACAATCTCTAGTTAGCCAGAGTTCTCAAATTTAGCTTTAAGTTCATAGTAATAACTGTAGATTAAGATGGGCACAAGGTTTTCAACAATGAATGGAGTAGGTTTACAGATTTAGAGTATGAGTGTGTACCTATTCTAGTTTTTCAAATTATTTGCCTACTCTTAATTTAAACTTTGTAGAAGTTGCAAATCAATGAGATACACACTATCTCTATCCTTAATTGCTACAACCTCATCAATATGAAGAAAGTCATCATGTAATTTTGGTTATTTGCCTCTTTTGACATAAAAACTGAGATGAAAGGACAGGATCTTTTCATTCTTTTGGGCATCACCCCAGAGAGGGGGAAGGAGACTCATATGAGGATCAGCACAATTGTCACCTCAGAGGCACTGAATCCCAAACTCCAGATAATGAAGCCTGTTAACCAACTAGTACAGTACATAGCAGTGATTGATACCAAAGGTATGAGTCACTACCCATAATCTTTTCCCTAAGGAACTGCTATAGAAAGTGATCAAAGATCCAGTGAAATGTGACAATGTGGAAACAAACACCTTTGTTTCAAAAAGCCTATAGACCAGAGAATGAACAGAGGTGGGAAGACCTGACTGATGCTCTATAATTGCTATTACAGTTATGAAACTATTATTCTAGACTTCTTGCTAGAGTAACTAAAGGAGCCATTTACAAAACAACAAAACAAGCAACCTTATCACACAGCATACACATCTATCCAGGGCTACTAGTTACTCAAGACACCAGTGTTTCAGGAACATGAAAACTGATCTGGTTCAACTTACTGGTTCTGATTTTGATACTACTCTACTTTTTTCTTCTTAAGGAATACTTGCACTGTTCAATACAGTTGCTACTAGCCACCTATGACTATTTAAATTTAATTGAAACACCAGTTCCTCACACACTAGCCACATTTCAGTGTTTAACAGCCATATGTGGCCAGTGGCTATCAAATTGGAGAGTGGAAATTTCCAATGCTACAGAAGATTCTATTGGACAGCAATGCATTAGACGAGTGAAAATGATCCCGCTCTCGCTAAAACAGATTTGGATAAATCCCCTTGTGAATTTGTGTATCAGTGTCTATATAAAGTAATTGTGTATTAAGTTGTTTGGTTCTAGGTAATTCTTTTTTTGTGTGTGTGAATACATTTTATTTTATTTATGTTTTTGTGTATATATCCATACATCTAAAATATCTAGATGGGACACAAAAAACTGATACAAAGGGACTAACAAGGAGGAAACCTTGTTTACCATATACCTTTTGCACTGTTTGAAAACTTATTTTACCATGTGCACATTTTGCCTTTTACAAACAAAATGTTAGGGCACCAGCAGGAAAAACTGCCTATGTAGTGCTCCATGGTTTACGAAACACTTTTATTTCCATTGTTTCCTGTGGTGCTCACCCCATTTTATGTATTTATTTTTATTAGAGTATCATTGATACACAATTTTATGAAGGTTTCACATGAAAAACATTGTGATTACAACATTCACCCATATTATCAAGTCCTTACCCCGCCACTGCAGTCACTGTCTATCAGCATAGTAAGATGCTATCGAGTCGTTAACTTGTCTTGTCTGTGCTGTACTGCCTTCCCTGTGACCTACCTGTATTGTGTTTGCTAATTATGATGCCCCTTAATAATCTCTTTCTTCCTCCCTCCCTACCCACCCTCCCAACCCCTCCCCTTTGGTAACTGCTAGTCCCTTCTTGGAGTTTGTGAGTCTGCTGCTGTTTTGCTCCTTCAGTTTTGCTTTGTTGTTATACTCCACAAATGAGTGAAGTTATTTGGTACTTGTCTTTCTCCACCTGGCTTATTTCACTAAGCATAATACCCTCTAGCTCCATTCATGTTGCAAATGGTAGCATTTGTTTTCTTCTTATGGCTGAATGATATTCCATTGTGTATATGTACCACATCTTCTTTATCCATTCATCTCTTGATGGACACTTAGACTGCTTGCATTGGCTATTGTAAATAGTGCTGTGATAAACATAGGGGTGCATATGTCTTTTTGAATCAGGGATCTTGTTTTCTTCAGGTAAATTCCTAGGAGTGGAATTACTATGTCAAATGATATTTTTAGTTTTAGTTTTTTGAGGATCCTTCATACTGTTTTTCCCAGCAGCTGAACTAATTTACATTCCCACCAGCAGTGAAGGAGGGTTCACTTTTCTCCACATCCTCTCCAGCATTTGTTGCTGTTTATCTTTTGGATGGTGGCCATCCTGACTGGTGTGAGGTGATATCTCATTGTGGTTTTAATTTGCATTTCCCTGATGATAAGTGATGTGGAGCATCTTTTCATGTGCCTATTGGATTGGCCACCTGAATTTCTTCTTTGGAGAAGTGTCTGTACAGACACCCATTTTTTAATTGGGTTATTTGCTTTTTGGGTGTTGAGGCATGTGAGTTCTTTATACATTTTGGGTGTTAACCCCTTATCAGATAAGTTGTTTACAAATATATTCTCCCATACTGTAGGATGCCTTTTTGTTCTGCTGATGTTGTCCTTTGCTGCAGAAGCTTTTTAGTTTGATATAGTCCTACTTGTTCATTTTTTATTTTGTTTTCCTTGCCTGAGGAGACGTGTTCAGGAAAAAGTTGCTCATGTTTATATTCAAGATATTTTTGCTTATGTTTTCTTCTATGAGTTTTATGGTTTCATGACTTACATTCAGGTCTTTGATCCATTCCAAATTTATGTTTGTGTATGGAGTTAGACAATAATCCTCTTACATGTAGCTGTCCAATTTTGCCAACACCAGCTGTTGAAGAGGCTGTCTTTTCTCCATTGTATATTCATGTCTCCTTTATCATATATTAATTGGCCATATATGTGTAGGTTTATATCTGGGCTCTCTATTCCCTTCCATTGATCTATGGGTCTGTTCTTGTGCCAGTACCAAATTGTTTTGATTACTGTGGCTTTGTAGTAAACCTTGAAGTTAGGGAGCATAATCCCTCCAGTTTTGTTCTTCCATCTCAGGACTGCTTAGGCTATTCAGGGTCTTCTGTGGTTCCATAGGAATTTTAGAACTATTTGTTCTAGTTCATTGAAGAATGCTGTTGGTATTTTGATAGCTATTGCACTGAATCTGTGGATTGCTTTAGGTAGAATGGCCATTTTGACTATATTAATTCTTTCTATCCATGAGCATGGGATGTATTTCCACTTATTGGTGTCATTCATTTCTCTCAAGAGCTTCTTGTAGTTTTCAGAGTACAGGTTTCATCTCCTTGGTTAGGTTTATTCCAAGGTATTTTATTCTTTTTGATGCAATTGTAAATGGAATTGTTTTCCTGATTTCTCCTTCTGCTAATTTGTTGTTAGTACATAGGAATGCAACAGATTTCTGTGTATTAATTTGTATCCTGCAACTTTACTGAATTCAGTTATTAGTTCTAATAGTTTTTTGGTGAAGTCTTCAGGGCTTTCTGTATATAATGTCATGTCATCTGCAAACAGTGACAGTTTAACTTCTTTTTTACCAATATGGATGCCTTTTATTTCTTTGTGTTGTCTGTTTGTTGTGGCTAGGACCACCAGTACTATGTTGAATAGAAGTGGTGAGAATGGGCATCCTTGTCTTTGTTCCCAATCTTAGAGGAAAAGCTTTCAGCTTTTTGCTGTTAAGTGTGATGTTGGCTATGGGATTGTCATATATGGCCTTTATTATACTGAGGTACATACCCTCTATTCCCATTTGGTTGAGAGTTTTTATCATGAAGAGATGCTGAATTTTGTCAAATGCTTTTTCAGCCATCTACTAAGATGATCGTGATTTTTGTCCCTTTTGTTGATGTTGTGGTTCAAGTAATTCTTTATTTCCATTTTCTGCCTTAAACACACACACATTATCAGATCTTTTAATGTATTTTTTTCTTGTAGCCAAAAAATTTAATGATCTGGCTTCATCTATCCCATCATAGCCTAATCAACAATCCTTATTAATGCCTGTGACTAAAATCACCCAAATCTGTTTCCTTTTCTCTAAGTCAACACCACAGGAGTGTTTATTCTCTTTGCCATTGCCTCCTCAATTGTGAACTGGGAGAAAAGGGGAACACTGATGTTTATTTGGGGGGCTGGCAGGTCTTCTACTATTAGTTATAAAAACCAAATAAAAGCTAAATGCTACTTATCATTAGAAAAGTTACACTAGTATAGTTGCAAGGACTGACTTTACATTGCCAGCTATTTGTAACAAATGTTCTTATCCCAGTATGATATTAGCTCTTTCTTTCAATTTAAAACATTTAAATGAAAAGAATTTTTGAAGTGGTAAGCAAGTCATACCATATGACATTCAATCCTGGTGCCACCACAGATTATGGAAGTAAAGCTCTAATCAGCAGAATTCATTGACATGGATTTTTAAAAACAGTTGTGCATGTCAGGGAAGACAGTGTAGCTCAGAGAAGACAAATAGGGACTCTGTGGCATCTTACTACACCGATTGACAGTGACTGCAATGGGGTATGGGGGGGACTCGATAGTAAGGATGAATGTAATAACCATATTGTTTTTTTTGTGAAACCTTCATAAGAGTGTATATCAATGATACCCTAAAATAAATAAAAACAAAAACAGTTGTGCATGTTATTACTGCTTTAAAAGAGGTCAATGTACTTTTGTTTGAAGCATCCTGGGTTCAGAAATCAGGTAAATCACCAGTATTTTGAATAACTTTCAAGTAACTATTTTAAAAAAAAGCGAGTAAAACCTCAAACCCACCTGAATTATACACTGACCATTAACTGCAACACTTAAAAAACATTGAAACCTAACAAGTTTGTTCAT